TAACAAAACCCATGATTTTCCGGAACTAAAAAACTGGATTTTTTCCTGATTTTTGTTTTTTATTTTTTTTTACAGGGCAGGGGTTTAAAGCTGAAAGTGTGACTGAATATAAGTATAAAATTTGAGATGATAGTGTAAGGCCAAGACAATTTCTCGGTACAGATACCAAAGATGGAATAGAAGTCATACTTAGTGAATGGCAAGAACATTTATTACACGAATTTATTGATGACAATGACCCACTTCGTTCTATTATTGATTTTGATTTATCTAGAGGAAAATTTGATAAAATCGAACTCAAGCTTACATGTAAAGAGATAAAAAATACACTTATAATGCTTTTACAAAAACTTGTTTGGATATATTTTCAGAATGGAACAAAACTACTATCACTATTGCCAGTAGTAGTAATTCAAAAAAAATGGCTTATCATATCTCAACATTTGGAATGCATCTTAAGAATATTGCCAAAGTCACGGTATTTACCAAACTTGTTCGTAAGAAACTTCCAGTGGGTTTACAAAACAAAGAAATTGTTGACAATATTGCAAATAAAAGATTATTTTCATTATGAATACTTGGAACGCCAAAATTTATTAAAGAGACAAGAGAACACGTACGTATAATGAAAGCATTAGGTTCCAAAAATAGGAATGTTTTTGATTTTATGCTTCATCCTCCTAATGATGAAGTGCCAGTTATAGATAGCCCAATCTTAGAAATCCCAAAAGAAATAGTGAAAAATAGTAAAGCAGATAATGGGAGCATTGGAGCTGAAGTCGATTATGTAGAGAAACTACTCAATGTAATGAATATCAAAGGTTTTAATGTTTTATACCCAACTTCCATGTCTCCAGATATATTCACTTTAAGACGTATAACAGGATTACATTGCTCTCTATGTAATTGAGAATATAGTAATGATAATGCATATGTAGTCTGAAACAGAAAAACCTATCGTTACTATTGTCATTGTGCAGATCAAGATACACCTAAAGGTACAAAAAAACCTTCATTAAAACTTATCATTAATGAGACTGTTAAAAAACTTCATCACCTTCCCAAAAAATAGAACATTCCAGAATTTCTGATCCAAATGATCACTTCGTATGGGATGATTTAATTGATATGTGCACATCAGGAGAAATATATACTCAGAATCAAGTTTATGAAGTAATACAAGCAACAGTTGCATGTATCCAAACAACTTCAAGATTATGAATACTTAAAATGGAAGATTCAGATAATAGTTTTTACTACAATATGACATCTAAGCTGAATTTTACCAAGTATGAAATCAAAATGATAGAATATGGAGGTGAAACAATGAAGTTAAAAACATTAATAGACTGAGCAGTTATTAAAGGTCTAATTCTTTATCATAATATCGATTTCCTACCATACCTCCCAAATACTTTTTCAACAAATACCAAGTTCTTTAACCTTTTTCTAGGATTCAAAGCCCAACCAAGAATTGAGATTAATCCAGCTATTATTGATCCAATTATATGGCATGCAAAAAATATAATCTCTGATGGAAATGAAGAGCTTAGTAAATATTTCTGATACTGGTGCGCATATCTAGTACAACAACCATCTAAAAAACCTGGAACAATTCAAGTATTGCATTTCTTATCAGGTTGCGGAAAAAATATCTTAATTGATTTTATAGGTAAGAAAGTTCTTAGATCAGAGCTTTTCTATACAATATCTGATCTTGGAAAAATATTGGGGCATTTTAATAGTTGCATTCAGGCTCGTAAACTAATTGTTATGAATGAAACAAGTATGTCTAGTGGAGATTGGAATAAGTATAATGATCATCTTAAATCACTTATCACAGAAGATTATTTAACAGTTGAACGCAAAGGTATCGAACCAAAAGTCATAAAAGATTATGCTGAATTTATGATATTAAGTAATCATGATGCTCCACTCCGGATAGAAATGGATGATCATCATATTGTGTGTTTCAATGTATCTTTCCATTGTAAAGGTAACATGGCATATTTTAAGAATTTGGTCAAAGTACTTGAGCATCCTGATGTACCAAATGTAGTTATAACTTATTTACTCAGTCTTGATTCTCAGATTGGAATTCACAAGATATTTCTGCTACTAAAATAAAAACAGATATAATGTTGGAACATTTACCAAATCTGAAATGATTTATAATCGATCATATTTCATCTTGGCCTGAAAATAGAACTGAGAATTCAATATGTTCAAATTTATATCAGGAATATCGTATTTGGTGTGAAAGAAATGGTGAAAATCCATTTACTAACAAAAAATTTGGAAAAACTTCTCCAACAATTGGTATAGAATGCAAGCAAGCACGAATCAATAGAAAAAGAGACTGGGTCTATACCCTTGATCAATCCAAAATTGTGAGTAAACTACACGAATTGGGCATCGATATAGAAGAATTTTCTGACTTACCTCAAACTGAGATACCTGTCAACACATCCACAGATATCCCTGTATTTGACGTACCTGAAGTTGTTACATCTGAATCAGAAAAAAGATAGCTGAGACATTGATCACTGATTATATCAAAAAAGATAAGAAAATAGTATCTGTCCCACCTATTACTAAAATGACCCAAGACCTCTTCGATTCTATAACAGATCAATCAGAATCTCCAGTTGCTTTGTCATCCAAGTCTATTGATATATCTCTATCTCCCAAGATCGTGGACGTAGAAGTTATAGACAATAAATCCAAATCTTTGGAAATTATCGAATTAGTGAGTGATGAAGCTGGATCTGTAAATAATGAGCCTGAGATATCTCCTGACTTACCTGCGAATGATGAACTAAAATCTAGCAATGAAGAAGTCAACACTGTCACGATTGTATATTTCGGGCTCTTCTTGGTGTTGTATTATCAATCGTGACTTCAACCAATCATCTGTTTGTGTTTAATTATCAA